ATTACAGTAAAACAATATCCATTTTTTAATACTGTCTTTGAAAACTGACAAGAAAAAAGAATCTGATCTAAAAGTCAGGTTCACAAAACACTGAGATCAATTAGAACAGGTGTTTTCCTGATGAACTTTCTGTGAAATGCTGCTGATTTCTAGTGATGCAGCATGGTGCCAAGACAAGGACAGGTTGCAAAAGCAGGAAGTATTTGTTGAGTGCTGAATTTAGAAAGTACCTGGCTTTCCCATTAGCTGGTTATCTATTTTGCAGCCAGATCCTCAGCTGCAATAAGCTGATGTTACCCTTTTAAACAAATTTACCCTGGCTGAAGATGAGGCTGTGGTTAATGAGCAGCTGTAGTGGCAGAGTTTCTGAATTTCTGAAATTATGGAAAATGACTGCCTGTTGCAAAGTAGGTGACTTAGCAGTGCAGTAGGACTGTCATATCACAAGGAGGAAAAAATATTCAAAGGTTAATGTCGAATGAAAAATCACCTATTTGCTGAAATTCCACTATTCAAATTCTTATTGATATGCTGCTGACCTCTAACCCCTACAACAATTCTTTAGTGCAAGAACTGTGTGATTCAATTGCAAGCAGATCACCAGATTTGGCATAATTCCTTGACTTATAAATGTGAAAGAGGTAGGAAAGTGGATAACTATCTGACTAGCTAGCACTCACAAAAGACAGTATTAAGTTCCCTTAATATCTTCTACTTAGTGCTCTTCCTTGGGTCATAGCCCAAGATACTAATTTGGTATTTTAAATCTTAAAAAAGAAATGTGATGCTTTGTGCATTGGTGCATAAAGGAAGAATAGGACTGGTATGGATGATCCAGAAGGTCCTTTCATTCTTGAATTCCTATAAAATGAAAAGTTGCCTCAAATGGGAAAATGAAAGTATTTTTGCTATGAAGGTACAGGAAAAAGAGGATTTGAGGTTTTTAAATCATCCCTTTCTGAATAAAAAGTGTAATCAATGCAACACACAGCTGTAAAATCTGCATTTCTTCATAACTTTTTTTTTTGAAGAAAAAGTAGTTTTGAACCTTATATATGATAGGAAACTTTCTAGAAATTACCTATATTTAAAATCTGGTGTTAGACTACAAGTTAAGAAGTAGGGAAAGCCGACTTGACCATTAGACTATAGAAGATTTGTGCCAAGTAAGAGGTATTTTTTACAGTGAAATCCATCTTGCTTTAAATAAACTAAGCATAGTCTTTCACTCTGTTTTCTCTTTGCATATTTGAAAAGTGCTGAAATAGAGGAAAGGAGAGGTTATAACACTTTTACAAATAATTCAAAAGAACGAAAGGAGAGTAAGACTAATAATTAGAGTGAAGTATTCCAGAGTGTTTTATTCAGTTAGCACAAAGGGTAATAAGAGAAGATGCTTTTCTAGTCCTTACAATTCTTAGCTTGTCTGGATGTACAATGAAAAGAACAAAAGATAATTAATGGTCTATGAAGAGGACAGTCTTAGCAGTAAGCCGATGTCTCAGCATCCATCTTCACATTGATCAATATTAGAAACTATAACTTCACTGGTTGTTTTATGAGATCTTTAAAAAAGGACGCAAAATTATCAAGATCATAAAAAAAATGTATTTCATTCTTTTGTGGCCTTATTATTCTGCCTGGAAAAGGACACTGATTCTTCTATGTCATAGCCCATTCTGAAGAGGAAAGTATTTGTGTTATTTTTCAGCTCATGATCTGTGCAGTTTATCTCAAGTGGAAGGGTCCTTCTCTAAGCCAGCTGGCTCGTAAAACAAACGTGTTCCTGCCCTCCTGGCTGGATGTGTGCTCCGTGCCTTCCCTGGGCACCCTCAGCCCGACACAGTGTGGTGCCATGCGGAGCCACCAGCCTGCGACCAACCAAACAAGCACACGCTCTGGGCCCGAGCTGGCAGGATTTAAGCCAGCTCTAGCCTAAAGCAGCTTGGATGTAGTCAGGCACAGCAGTGCTCCTGCTAATGAGCTCTGCCTCTCTCATAGGTGTCACACAGAGCACCGTCCTCCCAGCTGCAGCTACGCGGTTCAGGCACCAGCTTTGTAGGTAGGGGAGGTGGTGTGTGATGTGTGATTCTATGGACACACTCTCTGGTTCCTCTGCTGCAGCTGGCCACTGTAAGCACAGATCCTGGCAGGCACTTTGTCACTTTTAAACACCTTAGGCATGTGAATGGTTTTATAGGTAGACCTAAAACACTATCTTAGAGAAATTTTTTTAGCAGCTAAAGTTAGGTGATATTAAAACCATGGCTGCCATAGGGAGCCATTTGGAGCGGAGAAAGCACTGAATGTCTCAGGATAAAGAAAGGGAGAAGGATGTAAAGGTAGATTTGCTAAGAAGGGCTGGAGTAGACATTTTGAACTGACTGAGAACAGCTCTGTCGTGAAGTCAACACATTCTCAGGAGTACAGGAGGTGGAGATCCTGGGCTCTGTTTCAAGCAAGCACTGTTCTGTACGTGTGCTAAGCTTAACAGTTTTTCCAGCTTTCTTTGACTTAATCAGATGATCAGCTCTCCAGAGCACGGGTTGGCCCTGGCTACTCTTTTCCAGAACCCATCATGGTGAGATGCTGATCTCCTCTAAAGATGCAGGCCCTGCAGTAATGAGGATTATACTGTATTTGGAAAGCTGGCTCATCCTCCATCATATTGGAAAAGACTATCCCTGTTCTTCATTGGGCAATGCCAGTTCTGAATACCTGCAAACCTGCCCTGTAATAGGACACATGACAGATTCTGGTCTGCGGTCTTGTGTGCCACATTGCTGTTGCCAGCTAACAGTGCTTGTATCCGTATCTGACAGACTCTGGGATCCAAGCCTCACAGGTGTGAGATTACAAGGTGTGAGCAAGCAATTTCAGACATTTTTAGAGACTTTGAGAACATAACCCCCCATCTCTAGTATTCAAGTCCACAGAGGCGGTACACATTACAAGAAAATGCACATGTATGGATGTTGCATGGAATGGCTTAAGTGCAATGAATAAAGATAAAATTTTTTTCTTTCCATTTTCAACCAAGAAAGATAAGATAGCTTCTTCTATTGTTCTCTTTAGCTGGGAAGAAAAGGGACCAAGCTGGCATCAGGAATTCAAAGGTCAATGTCTCCTTCCTGGTGCAGTACTATTCAACACAGTTCAGGTCAACAAAAGTGTCAGGGCCAGCAAAAGGGTAATTCTTGGTTTCAAGGAGCCCAGCCCTTGATCTGGGTGGAGTTGGCATTCACATCACAGAGACAAGTCAAGGTTTAAGTAGAGGTTCACTTACAGCAGTTTCTGCAAATAAGGACTTTTCCAATGCCCTGTAAACCCCTCTGTAACCATGGAAAAGAAAGTGTTCTCATCTAAACCCAAAGGAAAAGCTAGGAAAACTCTGTACTTTACAACCTTTTAGCACAGGTGTCATTTTAAAGCTTTAGATAATTGAAATCTGTGTTGAGCTTCCTGTCTGTTCATCTTATTACTGGAAAAAAAGTTGCCTTTCTCATAAGTACTAATGGCACATATACTGTATATTTGTGTGGCGTGTGTCAAAATATATAAGAGTAAACTTTTCTTTCTGTAGTGATTTGTTGCCTTGGAGTCAGCAATTTTATTTTCTTACATCAGTATTTCTCCAAACTCAGTCTCTTCAACAACACAACCTATGTTAAGGTGCTGACTGATCTCTACTGGCAGAATTTCTTATGTTCTTCTCAATTCCTTTGCATGGGTGTTGTCACAAAAACAGACAGGTGTAAGCACATTTGGAAGAAGTGGGGCTGTAGGCTAGACGGTGCCAAGATCCAAGCAAGGCTCAGTAAGTCAGTTAAGGCTTAAGTGTATGAGTTCTAACTAATACAGTGGAACAGGAACTGCAAATCCCATAGAGATCTTCAGGTGGGCAGTGACAGACAAGCTTCTGCAGAGCAGGACTGTTGGGTTCCTGTGTAAATGCCAAGGAGGCTATGCCAGGCAACTGCTGCATTCTGGTTAAACTGAGGGAAGCTGGGGATGGGGTGAGCCAGGTGCTGAGTGCCCCAGACAGGAAAAGTGGTGTTATGGCTGTTTCTCTACCTCAACCCAAAGAAATTCTGCTACTCCTCAAGGTTTTGCTATATGTCATCACCGCTTCATACTGGTATTATTCTGTGCTGCACAGGTGCCTAAATTCTTCAGGGGAGGGGGTTTTCTGCATGCTGCTGTGTGACTGCAGAGATGAGGTCTGTTGCTCGAACCAAAGCAGATCCCTATAGTTAAGACAGAGTTCAATTTAATGCTCAGCCTCTGTGCTTAAACGAACAATACACAATATTAAATCAGTGTCAACTGCAAGGGGATGGTGTTGTTAAAACCTTGATCTCAAGCTCAAGGACTGCTTCCTGAAGTGTCCCATTGCCTTTCCTTGTAAATCTAAGTCTTTCACTCTAGTAAGTTCTAACTGTGTTTCTCAGATACTTTGTAAAAAGTATATTAAGAGATCAATATACATAACAAAATAGAGCCTAAAAGGCTTCCAGACTGCCATCTAACACTGTGACACCTGAACTGCATCAGTGCACACGAACAACAGCATGCAGCAGCAAACGCATTTCAGGCAGAAAGGACAGAACCTTCCACCTTGCTACTGGCTGTCAGGAAATCCATTTCATGCCTCATCATGCTTGAACCTAACTTTAAAGCTAAACCCTTCACATTTTCTCACTGGTTTGATCATGGGGGCAATTATTGCCTCAAGCAGGATCAGCAGCTTTCCCTCAACCATCGTGATTTTACCCTTCCATTGGTCAAGCAGAGGTGGTCCAGGTAATGTGTAAGCCAAACGTGGACAATCCTTAATAACCTTAATCAATCTGTGAGAACAAATTCCATGATTTGTTTCAATTTTGTCTAAAGAACTTGCAGACAAATTGAATCATCTCTTCATTAGAGGAATGGAAGAGGGATCCCAGAGTGAAGAAGACAAGAAAATTAATCTGCATGCATTTTGCTTTCTTTTCCAGGTACCGCCAGCATCTACCATTCTTGACGTGAAACACAAATTTCACAAAGCATGTAAGTACTATGGCTAACAGGCTGGAGGCATGGTTAGAGGCCTTTCAGCTTGGAGAAATTGTCAAATTTATTTTTCATGAAACCTCACACAAAAGCTGAGACTTGCTTGACAGCTCCAGTGCTAAATAAGAACAGTGTTTGAATTAAGGTTCTACTGTACCTATCACAGATGTGCGAGTGAAAGGAGAGAACTGCATAATTTATCACTGCCAGCACATGAGGAGCAGTTGTTTTCTATCTTCCTTTTAGCATAACACAGTGCTAATCCAAGGCCATCGCTGATTTGTTCTCCCAGTGTTATGTTAGATAAACTTCAGTAACATTAGACTGCTTCAAGCTGGCCATAAATAGATCACATAGACCAAAAAACTACTGTAGTCAGGAATTTGAGCTTGGAGTGATTAAATGGCATCTGGGATAGTCTAGATTTCTGTAAGACCTTTCATGTAGTCCCACGTGACATCCTTATCTCAAAACTGGGGAGATGGATTTGAAGGGTGGACTATTTGGTGCATAAGGAATTGGCTGATCTCTGTATCTCTGATAGAGTCAGAGAGTTGTAGTCAATGGCTCTGTGTCCAGGTGGAGGCTGGTGAGGAGTGATGTCCCTCACTCAAGGCTCTGTCTTGGGACCTGTGCTCTTCAGTATCTTTATCAGTGACACAGATCGAGTGCACCCTCTGCAAGTTTGCTGATAACATGAAGTTGAGCAGTGCAATCGACACAACACAAGGACAGGATGCCATCCAGGGGAAACTGGACAAACCTGATAGGTGGGCCCACGAAAATCTCATGAGGTTCAACAAGCCCAAGTGCAAGATGCTGCTTCTGAGTCAGGGCAATCCCAGAAATGAGTACAGGCTGGGAGAAGAAGTCACTGAGAGCAGCCCTGTGGAGAAGAACTTGGGGATTCTCGTGAATGAAAAATTGAAAATGACCTGGCAATGTGTGTTCACAGCCCAGAAGGCCAATCATATCCTGGGCTGCATCAAAAGAGGAATGGCCAACAGGTCAAAGGAAGTGATTCTGTGCCTCTAGTCTCCCTCATGAGACCCCACCTGGAGTACAAGAAAGACATGGACCTGTTGGAGCAGGAAATTTTCTGAAGGGCTAGAGCACCTCTGCTGTGAAGACAGGTTGAGAGAGTTGGGCTTGTTCAACCTGGAGAAGAGAAGGCTCTGGGAGACCTCATTGCAGCCTTCCAGTACCTAAAGGGGGCTTATAAAGAATAGGGAGACTGACTTTTTACTTGGGCAGATAGTGACAGGACATGGGGAAACAATTTTAAACTAAAAGAGTAGGTATTTCAGTTAGAGATAGTAAGAAATTATTTACTGTGAGGATGTTGCATCCCTGGAAGTATTCAAGGCCAGGTTGGATGGGGCCCTGAGCATCTTGGTCTAATGGGTGGCCTCTTAGATGCTGAGCTTTCATTATTTTTACAAAAAAGTGTTTATTAAACTAAAGGCTAGATGCCTTTTGCAAAAAGAAAAAAAGAAAAAAAAAGAAAAAAAGAAAAAAAAAAGGTTGTCAGTCACTAAGATTTTGAGTTCAGAGTATTGTAAGTAGAAGAAGAATTGTGCTTCTACTCAGTCCTTAGAATTTTATAAAACAGTAAAGCTTAAGGCTTCTGTGGTTGCATACAGGTTCAGTTGAAGAAGCAAAATGCTGTTGACCTGACTGTTTTAATATTACTTATTTTCACTGCCTGTAAGGGCTTGTAAAACACAAAATGGTAAAAGTTCAAAAACCGCATTGCTGAGTAGAAAAAGATGGAATGCATATGTTTTAATATTTCAATAAGGGTATGTCCTCCCATCGCTTCGTGAAATGCAGTACTGTTCTGCCTAGAATCTCTTAAATCAATTGAAACTGGATTTATATTGATGCAGTTTAAATCAGCTGAAGAACACTGGCACAGAGGTTTATGCCAATATAACTGCAATGAGGTTTTAAATGAATTTGGGCTAAAATGGTGCAAGTCCCTGTATAAGCCATTTTAATGGTGCCTATTTTGATATCAAGAGGTATCTTACTTCTCAGGTACCCCTGATGATGTAACTGGAGCTAGTATCAAGGAAGACAGCATACGACAAAGCATAGTACAGACCGTGAACCAAACCTCTGACAGTACAGCATTTTAAAGCACATGGAAAGGCTGGCATGTGCCTTCAGTGCTCTTTTGGGCCTCAGTTTTTTATGTCAATTCCTCCTGTTCCCAGGAGTACACCATAGCAGTGTCCTGTGTCCTTTCTTCCTATTTCAGCTCATTGCTTTCTATCTCTCTTTTCCAGTTCGTGACTTAGGGATGTTTTTGTCTCATGAGGTTCCCCCCACCTCCCCCTCCCCACCCCTTCCTCCTTTCTCAATTGCAAAGACCAAACCTTCACTTTTTCTCTTTGCGTAGTCTGGAGCATGACAGGTAATAGAATACAGTTCTTCTAGGCAAGAGCTGAGAAGGGGCTGAAGCTGATCTGTGGATGCCTTTGGTTACCATGCTATTTTGTACTAGCTCATGCATTCATTTCTGTCATTTCGTGTGTGCCAGACTCACATGTTCCCCTATAATCCCTCGTTAAAACACACTTCTACGCACACCCCCTTACAGTCTCCCTGTCTCTGTACATTCTGCTTTGATCACCCATGCAATTAAGCTTTCTCCTCAGCTGGTGTCTTGTCAGCCCTTCAGTGAGAGGAACCCCTGTGCAGCAATTTCACAAGCATCCTCCCTGTCACAGAGCAGGTTTTGCTGCCTGATTCAAGAAAGGAGGATAAAGACTGAATTATGAATTGCAGCACAGGAGGCTATTAAACATTAAAATAACAGAAATGAGATGCAAGTGACATGTGCCATCTTACTGCTAAGTAAGGTCTAAGTCAGTCAAATATTAGTTTGGATCTGTGTTTATACAGAAGGCAGAATATGGGTTTAGAAATCCAGGGATAAATACTGAAATACTCCTCAGCCCTCACTTCAGCAGAACTGTCTCTACTGAAACAACCGCAGCAAAGCCTAGCCATGTGTTTTCACACATGGTTCAGAGGGGCAATCCCAGTGTTATCACTGGAGATTCAGGGATCTTAGTGGAGAATAACCATTTAAGACAAACTGCCATTTCCATGGGAATTCAAAGGCTTTGCCCAGACGGAAGATGGTTGCTTTGAATCATCCCCCGGTTGCTGTAGCCACTGCCCGTGGGAGGGACTGGCAGCACCAAGGAGGGACAGCCCAGAACAGCAGTTTCCCTGTTGCAGCCTTCCAGCCATCAGCTCTACAGGGGCTTTCTGTAACAGATGTTAGAGCCAGGCTGTCACACTTAATAGCAAACATCACACCTGCCCACCATGAATCTGTCTAATCCTTTTAAAACATGTTTACAGTTTTGACCCCGGCAAAATCCTCTGGGAGGGAGTTCCACAGTATAAGTATGTTGTGGACAAATGTCTACACTTTTACAACTCGATATTTTCTGCCCGAAATTGAGTGGCAGCTGAGCGTCTGGGTGCCACTGGCAATCATGCTGTATTGTCTAAGGCATGGTCAAAGAAGCCTCAATCAAACTGGTGCTGTGCTGTAGGTGACTTTACTAGTATTTTCCTTGTTCCTTTGTCTAGCTGGCAGAGGTGGAACTCAGCCAAAAACTAAGTGTATAAGAAGGAAGTCTCTTGACCCATTTTCTCAGTTGCTTATAATGAGTTAGGTACCTGGCATTTTCTTTATCTATACAGATTATATTCTCAGTGGAGAAAGAAATATCTTGTAGGCTAAACTGCCTGAGCTCTTGTCCTTGGCAATAACTTTTCACCTTTAATTTATTTTTATCTTTGCAAAATGTATTGGACTGCTGTGGGAGGAAATCTTACAGATAGAAAATGAAAAACTGTAATAATAATGCTAATTCATGTATCACATAACTAAAATAAAATACCTCTAGAACAGGTAATATAGTGGAGTCAGTGATCATTAAATATTTTCAAGGTTACTGCATGGAACTTGCTGAAAAATCTCTTGAAAGAAGAGGAAGAGCAGAAAGGAGAGGGGGAAATAAGACCTCAGCAATACTGTAACAAACTCATGGAGGCAACCTCCTGCACAAGGGCGACAGCACAACTAAAACTATATTTTGAAGCCAGAAGAGTGAGCGTAGGGAACCCCAAATTACCTTCTAGGCAGAAGGAGCAGGCAGGGAATGGTGGAAGCCTGGTGGTAGGTGAAAGGAAAAAGGGAAATCGAAGAGAGAACTGAAAACATCATGAGTATCCTGGCCTGCAGCAGGGAATGAGGTGCTCAAGGAATAAGGAACAATTCAAACTGCCAGCTGTCCCAGTAAAATACTAACTCCTAATCATTCAGCTCCAAAATTGCAGGCACCTCTAAAAAAACCAGATGTTGCACAGAGCATTTAAAATAAGCAATATCAATGAAAGTAAATCACTAAGACAGAAATTGTCAGTAGATGGCACTCAAGAATAAACAGCATAATTTCTGGAAAACAGGAAATTTTAGAATCTTGCTACACCATCTTCCTGGGAAAGCTGAGATATTTTCTGTTGCTTTCATCTAGAGACAGGACAAGTTAAAAAAACGCAATTCCTTCATTATGGGACAAATCTCGCTTTTAGCCTCCTCCTTGTAGGCTGCAGGGCAGTGTGTTAGGATTCATCTACCAGGTTTTACCTATTGCTCTCATCCTGCATGTTCCCCAGAAGCTGTAGGAGAACAGGCAGTCCCACAGATTTCTTCACTGCAGACATCCTGGTTAGAGCATTTCCCACCTGACTGTCTGCACAAAAGCAGGATCAGAGCATCCTGTGCAGGTCCTTCCAACACGCCCTTTCACCAAGTGCATCAAATACTCCCAGTGACTTCCAAATGCTTGAATCAGACGTTTATTGCCTAATGCAAGGAGATCCCGTGTCAGAGGGCAAACAGGAGCAGAAGAACTGCATCACACAATTCTTCTCCAGCTGCATGGAAGGCCTGGGCATATTCTCCCTCC